TTTTTTATGTCTACTTGTATTGTTTTGTATAGTTGGTTTTTCTCATATTTGATGAATATATATTTATGATTATTATATCTTCCTCTTGGAATTTTCTCTTAACAAGTATATACTGACCTTCTTTGTCTCCTTTGATCAGTCTTGGCTTAAAGTTCACTTTGTCTGCAAATAGAATAGCTACTCATTCTTCTCTAAAGCTTTCTATTGCATACAGTATTGTTTTCCATCCTTTGCTTTTAAATCTAGGAATTTCTTTTTGAATTAAATGTGTTTCTTGTATGCAGCATTTGTTGGATGTGGTTTCATGATCAATTCTACCAGTTTGTTTCTTTTGATTAGTGAATTGAAAAAGTTAACATTCATGGTTATAACTCGCATGTTTTGGCTTCATATTACTTTCCAGTTGCTGATTCCCTTTCGTTTCCCTCTGTTTAATTGCTTGTCTTGTCTGGAAGAGTCATTATATTGCTATTCCTGGGAATGCAGTCTTTTGTATCTTTTACTAGAATATCCTTCAGAATATTTTCAAGAGATGGTTTGTTGGTCATGAGTGTTTTCAGTTTTTCTTTGTCATGGAATTATTTCATTTTTCCATTGATTTTGAAAGATAGTTTTACAAGCTACATCAATCTGGGTTTGAGGTTGTTTTCTTGCAGGACTTGAAACACTTTACTCCAATCATTCCTTGACTTGTTTGTGTTGAGAAGTCTACTTTGATTCTGATGGGCTTTCCTTTATAGGTCATTTATTTCTTTTCTTTAACAGCTTTTAATATTCTTATGTTGAATGTTTAATATTTAATATAAATGTTAATGTTTAATATTCTTATGTTGAATTTCTGGAATCTTTATTATATCCTTGATGTAGATTTATTTTGTTTATGACTAATTGGAGTAGTATATGCCTAACTTAATGTAAGTCAAATTCATTTTCCATACTTAGGGAGTTTTCTCCATTATTTCTGTGAACAGGTTTTTTTTAATATAGTTTGTGCTGGGTCCTGCTTTTTCATTGACTCTGATCAATCTTATGTTGTTCTTCTTTGCATCTTCATGCAGTGGTTGGATTGATTTTTCTTGGTCCCTTGCTATTTTTAATAAATCTTTCTTTTCCTGATCACTATCTCAAATCTTGTCTTGTAGACCTTATATTCTGTCCTCATCTTGGTTCATTTGGCTGCATATAGTTTCAGTGGAACTTTTATCTCCTGGAAACCTGAATCTGTTTCATGGATATCATTTCTTTCTTATGTTGGACACTCACAGTTTCCATCATTTTCCTAAGCACCTTTATTTTTTATCTGTGTCTACCCTAGATTCACCGAGAAAAGTCCTATATTTTGATTTTCATATCTTTTTTAACCTGAGAGATTATTTGTTATCTGATTTTTCTCTATAGCTTCATTCATCAATGTTTTACTTCTGCTGTTACCATTTCAAAAAATCCAGGTGGGTGGCTTTTGATTTCCTCTATTTCATTGTCCGCCAGACATGGCCTGAGTGGCCTGGAGGGCTAGGATGGCATTTTGTTTTGTGTCATGTCATGTTTTATTTTTCTAAATTTTAGTTTATTTTCTGTGTTGATACTTTTAAATTGCTTATGGTAGGTAGCTCTAGCACTAGTATCAAGGCTTCCCCAGGAAATATCTATTAATCAGCCATGTCTTCTAGTTGTAGCTGGCTCTCGGCCTATGTGTCTCTCCTAAAATTCTACCTTCCCAATTTGTTATAGATGAGAAGTGCTATTCGGCTCAGCCAGCCAATCTTTTGGTGCTGGACTATGATGACGATTATGATCCCATAAAATCACAATGTTGTTATGTGAGGGAAAACAACTGATTACAGCAGGTAGGACATCCTGGCTGTAGTTGTACAATTAGCAATAACAATCAAGCATAACCTAGAAACTGACAAACTGTGATAACTATTACTTTGGTACCTTCAACCATGGGAGCAAGATCTATAGTATATATCGAAATCCAACACAAACTAGGATGCTATATCATGTGAGTTTTCCCTTAGTAGAGTGATTGTATCCTAGAGGCGGGGCAGAATTTTCAAGGGATATGGAAAAATAGAGAGGTAAATGAAGATAACTATAGTAGAAGCAAGGCTGAAAGACAAAAGATGATCACCCAAACTTTGAGAAACTGGAGAAGAGGACAGGAGAGAAAGAATGAAGGAAAACACAAAAGAATATTGAAGCAAACCAAAAAGACTAGAGACAGTACTTACTTACATGAAAATATCAAAAATCAGAAAATATAGTTGAGGGGGGCTGGGGATTTAGCTCAGCGGCAAAAGCGCCTGCCTGGCAAGCGCAAGGTCGTGAGTTCGGTTCCCGGTACCAGAGAAAAACCAAAAAAAAAAAAAAAAGAAAATATAGTTGAGGAGAGAGAAAAAGATGCTGAACAACAACAACAAACAATAAAAGTAAAAACGCAAACAACAGCAGCAACAGAAAAAGACAGAAAAGGAAAAACAACAATAAACAACCCCAGTACAATTCCTCGGGTACCTTTAGTTCTATGGTAGCAGCCAAGTCTGAGCCCAAATCTGTGCTGGGTAACTCTTTCAAGTCTGCAGTAGGATTAGAGCTGGGTACAGGGCTAATCTTGGCCTCTGGATGTGGGGGCTGTGGCCTGAGTCTTCAGCCAGCAACTCTATGTCCCTCAGTGGCCCACCCATGTCTCTTTACACTATTTGTCTCTATATTGTTGTTCTCCCAGTTGCTGTGTTGACCTCAGACAGAGAGAGCCCGAGGCTGCTTTCAGGTCCATGTACAATCAGCCACACTTAGCCCTTGCACAGCCTTCTCTGTTCTACTCCTGCTGGTGTCTCTCTCATGCACAGCTGGGAACAGGGTGTGAGGAGTGCTGACTTCGCACTTGTTATCCCATGGAGGTTTAAGGCTGTTTAAATCCCACATCGCCTCTCTCATACCTCTGGAAACAGGGCAGGATGTTTGGTGCTATTCCCCTCATTCCTTTCACCCTCACCACTATGATCTCTAATCTTGTTGCTAGAGGCTCCAGTTAGCTAACTGGCATTGTTCTACCTGGCCTTATTTGGCCGCAATCTCCTTATCTGTAGGGGTAGAGTGAATTGGATGTTAATGGACTTTGCATCTTTCACATTCTTAGATTGGAGTGTAAACATTCAGGAGTTCTTTAGAGTTTATAAAAAAGCAATTTTGTAAACTAGTATGCTGTAACTCAGGAGAATAGGGGAGAACATCCTTTCTTCCCCCTCAGCAGAGAAAAATTGGATTATACTTTGTTTCTGTCACCATAAAGCAACTAATATTCAAAAGAACTGAAAACAGTCATACTTAAACAGCAAGGTAAAATGACTATACTCCATTAACACACTTTTCTTCACTCAGCAAGAGTTCTGTTGTAATCTGTCACTTGCAATATTATAGCAGCATGTTTCAGCCCATTTAGGTTAAGTAGCTACAGCGATTTTGAAAGCACTCATGATTCTTATATAGTGAATGCAAATGCCCTAGGCAAAAGCCAGCCAGGCCCCCTAGTGCTGAGGCTGCTGGCTCCTAGGTGGGCTTAAAGGACCCACATGTTTAGTGGTAGCAACATGCCACAGGTGGGTTGTGATGAACGCAGTCATTTTTGAGCTCATGGGAGAAGGGTATCTGTGGCTCAGAGATTAATGGGCCCAGAATCCCCATGCTCTGCCACAAGGAAGGCCAATCACAAGAGCTGTGAGGCTATTTAACACCAGTGCCTTTGTAATGGGTGGTCTCCGTGGCAACAAGGCCAGAGTAGCTCTTTTTTCCCAGTTGCAGAGCACCGGGGCTACAGAGCTTTAGTCATTCAAAGTTGAAATAAAATGTTTCATACATGAATAGCATCCTTCTTAAACACAAGGTTGGCAATCATAGTGTTTCCCTCTTAGTCAACAATCACAGAACTGATTTCTTTCATTTTTTCTTGAATGCTAAATCTCAGGCATTATTTTTTTATTTCAGTATATGTACCACTCATGATACCCAGGAGTAATTGCTGGGTGGGGTGGCACATGCCTGTAATACAAACACTCTGGCTGACTGAGGCAGGAGTACCACAAGTTTGACTCTGGACTGGGCAAGTTAGTGATTTAGTAAGAACTTATCTGAAAAACAAAACAAAACACCAAAAATAGCTGAGGATATTGTTATAAACATGGATTCAAATTCACCTAACAACTACTTCAGTACTGTGGTAGGCACCTGCAAAGCAATTGGAATACATTATTTTGTTTAACCCCCTAAATACTGTATGTACATGTTAGCATCAATGTAGTCAACATTATTGGTGTTTAGCACACAGTAACAATTTCTTGAATATTTGTTGAATAAATCAATGAAAAAACATGAACTTACAGGTTTTGAAGATCACAATGGCTTTTGGAGACCATCCTGTAAAAGTCTGTCATCACATAAGTGGAACAATCAAACTCCAAAAGAGGAAGCGAGTGACTTGACTGTCAGTGACTTACTGATACAGCTTGTTAGACCCAGTTCTGTCCCAGGTGGATCCAGATCACTGTCCGCTTGAGACACAGTATACCTGCCTCATGTGAAAGCTAAGTGGTAAAAGATTTCCAAATCTCTAAGTTTTATCACACTTGGACACATTCTTCTGAATGTTTTTGCTGAATGTAGTGTATAGAATACATTGTGAATTATTTAATAAGAGACACTTGGAGAAATTTTACAATGTGTTTATTGATATTTAGGTTTGCAAGACTAAAGCAAAGAAGTGTGACCCAAGAAAACTTTAATCAATGAGTAAGGTCTACCTGGAGGTGTGATGGGGGAAAGTGATTCAAAACATGATTATGTCAGTAGACCTAGGCATCATCAAATATGAGGTGACTGACTGACATCAACTAAATTCACAAAAAGCCTCAGTACAAGCTAGAATACCAGTTTTTAAATGTGCAAATGGAAAGACACCTTGGTTGGTCAGCAACATTCTAGACAATTCCATATAAGACTGGTCATAATCAAAAAGTTCCCTGGTGAGTGTGAAGTCAGCACACTGGAAGTCGTTGACTGACTCCACCATTCTCCTCAGGAGGGGTATACCTGGCCAAGTGATGCAATGCTCCTGGTCTCTGATCTTGGCAGCTTCTTGCGTGGCCCTGCACCATGCTAGAGACATACTGTTGCATTTTTTTCCTTGAAGACTTTGCTAGTTCCAGGTTGAAACTGTTCTTTCGGTTAGCATTGTTTAATCAGACAGGGGACAGTGTACATTGGTTGATGCTAGCTTTCCCAGCTTTGGCTTCATGGAATCGTCCATAGTCAGGCCTTCATAATAACTGAGGTACAAGCCCTTTGGGAACTATTCTGATAGCTAATTGACATATATACATTTTGTAGATAAATATAATAACTCTGAAAGGAACTTGCCCCTCCTTATGTTGTTCAAGCACCTTATTTCATCCTCTAAGATCTAAAAAGTAAGTCTGAGACCGAAGTGAAATCCAGCCTGAGTTCGATGGACATGTATACCTGTGTAGAGCAGTGAAACAGGATAAAGCGCCTCTTCCCTCCTTTAATTACTGTGGAGCAGGAAAGGGAGAGAGGGAGTGAGAAAGAGGAACTGACTTGGGGTTGGTAGTTGGAAAAGATAAAGGATTGGGGAATAAGAGTAGAGGAAAAAGAATAGTGCTACTGCTGAGCTTTAGCCCATCGAGTGCTCCTGTGTTCTTCCATTATAAGCATAGTACAGTGCTGGCCTTGTGTCACCCTGGACCAAATATCCTGGACACAGACCTAATGAATGCTGATGTTTTGGTGAGAGAGACAAGAAAGATTCAGAACACAGAATGCTGCTAAAGAGGGAGAATCAGGTGAGTGACCATGGTGGAGAGGCCATACTACCTGATGAACAGGGTGGAGAACTTAACGTCACAATTTTGTCAAGGTCGGGGCACATACAATGGTCATGAATTTTTTTTAACCACGTTATATGCCCCTAGTGATTACATTCTTTAATCATCTTACTCTAGTAAAAGATAAATTCTAGATGAAATTGTCCCATGTAAAGAGAAAAATCAATATTTATTCATTATGTATATTCTGACAAGAGATGGAAAAGTGATTAATTAGTAAAGGGCCTAATTAATTTTCAATCCCAGTGAATCAACATTGGAAATGCATCTTTCATTTAAGTAAGCTTTGTTTTTTCCTTAATCCAGTTGACATACCGAGATACCTTGGTATATATTCCGTATTTGCCTTTCATTGCACACTCCTCACCCCAACTAATAATTCCAGTTAGAAAACTGGTCCCTTCCACTTCAGTAACATGGGGACCCCCACTGTCTCCTTGACATGAATCTTTACCTCCATCATGGTAGCCAGCACAGAACATGTTATTATAGATGGTGAATTTCGTGGACCGAAGGCATGTGGCTCGGTCAACAAGTGGAACTCTAAGGTACTGAAGAATTGTAGCCGATCTCCCTCTATTGAATACTCTTCCCCAACCACTCACATAACCAGATCCAAATTTTAGGAAGATGTTTGTGTATTCCCTGTTGGCAATGCAAATAGGTGTTACATAGCTGTTCAGTGTTAAGGGTTTATCCAGCTCAAGAAGGGCAATGTCGTGGCTGTATTTATTAAAGCTTGCATTATAGCTATGGTGAGGAATAATTTGAATCACATTTCGCTTTTGCTCTGTATCTTCCTTCTTTTCAATGTTATATTCACCTGTTGGGAATAAATTCATTTCAGTCACATTTTTCACATAAACAGCTATTCTGTGTGTCTATGTGGTGTCACTGGCAGCTGGCAATCTAGTCTCAAAGACGGGAGTTTTATGTGGTTGGTAGGGAAATTAATAGAGCAATACATAATTGTAACCCACTGAGATAAATGCTTTAGAGATTCATAAAAAATCATGGGCCTTGGAGGATGTCGGAAGTTAGGTTTTAAAATTATGGCCCCCTATACCACTAGCTTAACTTAATCAGCAACAGTTCTATTGGGCCTTAATAAAGCATGGTGCATCATTCATGCAGAACATCTAACAGTGGTGCAGATTATTATCATTTTTGTTTAATTACCTGCGACAACCTCAATTTTAACACCAGGGTGAATACAGTGGGCAGCAGTTACGATCCATTTTTCATTAACAATGGAACCTCCACAGAATGCTTCAGTGTCACTTTTCAAAAGGACCTGTGGAAAGAAAATTAAGCCCCTTACTGCATAATATATTTGACCCAGGACAATATAAATACATATGTCATTTACAGGAGCGGGTAAACAATTGGCTTCTAGGTGTTGGCATAAATGGAAGATGTCTGGAAAAGTGTCATCTTTGCAGGTGAATTAGTGTTTCAATAGCACAAACCAAAATGCCATTTCTGTGACCATCTTGGAGAGAATGAGCAATGAGAGATAGAGGGGTCCCAGCAGAGGCAGACCCGGAAAATGTCTTCTTTTGGTGATTTGGGGCCCTAGCCCTCCATTCCCAGGTGAGGCAGACTCTGATGGCACAAGTTGCTTTGTGGGGATCAGGCAGGTATGTTAGGCACATTCTGACTCAGCCTCTTGAAATGAGTAGTTACCGTTAAGTCTCCTGTCCTTTCGTGAGGATATCTCTTTGCTACAGTTCACTGGAAAAAGAACGACTGCTTATTTTTCCAGCTCTCTTTTCAAGCTCCTTCCAAACTGGAATATTATGAAGTAAGACCTAAGGCCTCCACAAGGGCTATGTATATAGCTGCCCAGGGAGTGAGGAGCAGGAGGACTTGCACAAGCTTTGCACTCCTCCTTAATTATATTCCAACCCTCCCTGGCTGGGTGTGGAAGCTGCCTTTCTACTAAAAACCCTCCTTTGCTGTGCTTGATTTTGGGCCAAGTGGACAAAGGTGTTTGTTGTGTTCAGCCTATTATTAGATAAGAGACCAATTCATTCTTTCATCTGTATATTCATTGCAAAGGAGAGTGAATATTTTCACCACCTCCATGTCTACTTAAGAGTTTCATTTCCAGTGTAAGCAATGGCCTTCCTTGAGCCACATTTTCAGAAAGAAAGCTGAAAAGTGTGAACACTAGAGGGCACACTCAACATTTAGTAACCTCTTTCAGGAGCCCACTAGCTCTCCCTAAACTGATGCCTTTCTTACCTAAGAACTATGTAGCCTTACACACAAACCCATTCGTTAAACAAGGAAAAGGGTGTGGTCAATCCTCCCAAGTGTGGGTCTTAGATGGTCCTTGGAGCACATTCTTTTGAAGATTCTTCTGCTCCTGAATTCAACTTACTAAATAACTACTTATTTTAGACCCTGACTTTGAGCAGGGCAACTCATTATAGGCCTCTACCCTCGTTTTCTAAATTCTGGCTGTCCTGCTCTGCCTAGCTGTTACTTTTTATTTTGAAAAGTTATAAAATCATGGAAAAAAATCTACATAATAATATAGTAAACATCAATGTGCCTACCACCCAGATTTAACAATCTTCCTATTTCTTTTTAACATTTGAATGTCTACTTTCGGCTAAACATTGTAGTGTTCTATATACATTTAATACTGAAAACATATCTTTATGGAGTGGCATTAATATGCCTAGTCACATATGAGCAATCTACCAGTAAGGTCTACTGATATTTTAACATAGTGGTGAAGACAGGTTACAAAACCAAGTCTGACTGACTCCAGTATTTGTGCCTTTGGGTATCCAGTATCTCTCCAAATGTGGTGTGTAGACTAACTGCAGTATGATCGTCTAGGGTGTTTGTAAAATGCAAACTTGGGGGTTTTTCCAGACTCAGTCAAAATATTTAGGGCTGGGGCCGTGAAAAATGAAGTTCTCCAGAATATTCATATGCATAATTAAGTTTGAAAAGTGTTATATACCTACTGAATCCGAATTCTCAAGGCTTGGTAATCTTTACGTTTGAAAGTGCTCACTGAATGCTGGCTACATTGCTTTGTGTGGATCAGTGAGAAATGAAAAACTGAGGCCCTTTGTTCCAAAGCCAGTGGGAAAAAGTTCCATTGAAGATACTAAAATACAAAACTTTCTCCTTTCTTCTGTGGTCTTTCTTACTGTTTAATGCTATGTTCCCTTGGCATGTGGGCATTTTCTGGGAGAATGAAGAGCCTCCCAAGCACCCAGGGGCTGCACCTTACAGTGTAACATCCATGCTATTAAGACCAATGCTGCTATCCAGAGGTGGCTGGGCCCCAGCAGGGGAGAATAAATCCATCTTTCCTTGCCACTGGCCTACTGCAGTAATCAAGGCAGAGACGTGATTCCCAAAAGATTGCCATGTCCATGTCAAGATGTGCTCAGTACCTGGAAGGGAGGTTGACAAGAAGCTTATCTCCGCCCTTCATCCTTCAAATGTGTTGGAGTATATTCCTGGCCCAGAGACGTCACATGACCATGCCTATTCCCAACTAGCACAGAGCATGCCTGGCCTCAATCCTTTCTGTGCCTGGGTCCTGGCCCTCTCCAGGGAAAGAGGGTGGCAAAATAGGTGGGTAAAGACAAGGACAGCGTGTGCCTGGGTACCATGGGCTGGGAGTTGGCATTGGTTATTGGGAAGGTGTGGAGCTCAGAGAAGCAAGGTGGCTAAGACACCAGGGTGCGGAGGTGGGAGGGGGAGGTCAGGAGACCGGCTCCGGGAGGTGATGAGCAGTGGGAATGTGGTAACACAGGGTGCCCTGTTCCCAGGACATACTCTATTATCTCACCAGACTTCACTTACAGAACCTAAATGCAAAGTATTGAACCCTACATATGAGATCCTTCTCAGTACACACAGTCCTGTGCAAGTGCACTAGTGACAGATCATGTGGCTAACGCTGACCACCAAGTAAATTTTATCGCCAAGCAAATTCAAGCAACGCAGTTCCATACTGATCCTGATGATTATTACTGAATGCATCTGCTAAGCAGGTGGATGCAAGAATCCATACACAACAATATGTTGCTTCTCCCGTAGCCACTGCTTTTCTTTGGGGGATTGAACATCTCCTAGTTTGGTGGGCTAGTTAGGCCAGACTGGATGATACCCACATGGGCACAGAGACCAAGATGTAGTTTTCCTGACTCCTGCCAAAGGCTTGCTGCCTGGAGCATCGATTGCTTTCCAGTGGGTGGCTGAGAAGTATGGCTGCGTTTGTTTAAGCCAGAAGAGCATTCTTGGCCAATCCTTGATTGGTTTGGGAAATTTTAACAAACATCTTTGCCAAGAAAAGGCCTAAAATATATTTGCATTCAAAGATATTACAAATGGCATGGTCTTGGAATGTTTGCTTGGCCATTTCAGGCTCACAGCTATCTAAATATCAGCTATTTGGGGGGTGCGCTGTTTGCTTGGCCAAGGACAAGTTCTTATAAGACATGACCTCAGAGAATGATGAGGAAAATGGGAAAGCATATGTTCTGAGCAAGGCGTCTGATTTCTGAGCTGTCAAACATCTTCCTGGGTGCCACAGCCTAATTAATAAGAGCGTATCTTCCCTCGTTTATGACATGCACATATACACGCATCAAACACACATTCATCCATAAAATATACGCCTGTATTTATGGTCTCTACGACAGTGCCAGCCCAGAGCAATAGCCGTTTCCCTGTTGTTCTTCTTCCAGCCTTTCATTCCACCCTACCTCTCCCTTGTGACTTCAGTAAGACTAGTTTCTCGCTCCCTACCCACCCCAGCTTTCTAATAACACTTTTTCTGTGTTTTTTTTCCCTTTCTCATACATAAAATAACACCATTTCTACATGGTGTACAGCTTTCCATGTCCACAGGTGTGGCTTGCCCAACCCATGATCCTAGGTCATTTGACGGGTCATAAAGGGGACACTCACTTTGGTGATCAATGGTTAACTAGTCATTGAAATAGATTTCTTCAAGTGATCGTAGAGGACAATCATCTAACTGTTTGGTCTGAACTAGTTTTGTAGGGCCAGGTAAAAGATTGCATACGCTGTTATTTCTCCTAACTGGAATGCTATCATCTGAGCCAAGAATAATGGAAGGTTACCTTTTTTCTGATGAAGTTGTTTCTATAGTCTAAGATCTTCATGTAACATCCCCCCAGCTCCTCACAAAAGAAAGCTCTGCTTCACATATTTGATAAATTTCCCTGTTGTCTGCCACTGAGTTGTGTCCTAACAGCACAGGGCAGGAGCTCAGCTAACCTAAAGGATAGCTCCAGGCCAAAGCTGAGGGCTACAGAGATTGGGGAAAATTAAAAATTCAGGTTAAAAATAGAATAAAAAATGGACAGATGGGTTCTCTAGACATTTTCTGTTGGTTGAAATGGTTAAATATTGGTAAATGCACATGGTGCGACTTACTATAAGGATAAGATGAATCACTTGGTTTCAATTGTATTCCATTTTTGCAATGTAGTACAATGATCTTCAGATTATAAATGTGGAATAAATATGTCTCATACAGAACTAAGACCCATGGCAAAACAGAAAACAGAAACAAGTACTTCTCACACAGGGCTAGATAGATCCTAACCTAAAGCAGAAAATATGGCCACAGTTGGCAATAAGGCAGGTTTGGACATGTTCAGAATTGTCAGTTGGCATGGTCATGGGCATGGGACCAAAACCAAATTAAAGCTTTAAGCATTTGCAATATCATGTTGCTTCCTCAAACCTCTCACTTTTGCGCTGTTCATGAGAACCTCCTAATACTACAGGCATTGTGATTTTATTTTTTACTGTAATACTCAAATGCTTTTGTTTCTTCCCTATGTAGCAGTATGAAACTAAAGTCTCGAGTTTTCCACTCCACTACATACAGTGACCCTCTAGCTTCCTCTCTCTTCTGCAGAGGCCCCCTTCCTTTCCTGGAGTGCTCAAGGTGCTCTGCGGTCACTGCTGGGGTTCTGGAAAGAACCTAAAGGAAATACCTCCTCCTATTGACCCCTCATCCCACCCCAGCCAGCTCACTGGAGTCTCAGGCCTTCAAACACTGCCAAGTTCATGGCAGGCTAGGCCTGCTGGTGCCTTTGGCTTCAAGGGTCCACAGGGGCTCACAAGCATGGCGTGGCTACACTGACCCTTGCTCCAGCAAGGCAAGCTGAGGTGCAACCGAGAATAAGGTAAGACACGAGCCCTACTGGCCAGGACAACATGAAAGTCTCAGAACCAGACAGGATCCTGAGTCCCCTAACCTGCTCTGATCTCTCACCAGGT